CCCCCCCCAAAAAAAAAGTTCATCCATGTTTAGTTTAAAAAGTTAAAATACTTTTCCAGTAACCAATTTTTAACAACCCATGAAACTAATATATAACAAAATGGCAAGCTTGATGATAGCCATAGGCGGTCCAGATGTTTCCATTGCAACAAGATGAGATAAATAAAGCAGAGGAACAATGAAACTATAACCACTTCGATAACACCTGATGTAGTGGATTCCCAAAAGCAAAAACCATCTAAAAGAAACAAAATACAAGAGATGATAACTACCACAAAATTGAGCTTAAGCTCTACAGACTCCTGTTAATATGTAGTTCTTTCCAAATTCATCCCATCCATGCGAAAAATACTCGTCAAATTGTGAATATCTTCAAGAGTCAGCACGCCTACATCCTCTGCATACATCAAGAATCTATCTTTCATCATGTGTTTATGAAATATTTTGGCATAAGACAGCTTCGTTCGGTATGACTGTATGCATTAATATACAACACTTTGTATTCAGAAAACAGAGAAGTCTTGTCAAGAGTGCATATGATTAAATAAGTTGTAGATGAATTTATACAACAAATATTTCGGGAAAAATCCCCTTTCTCTACTGTAACTATAAGAAATAGAGCATGGTAGATAACATGCCAATCGAATAGCATTCAATAATTCTCATGTTCGTAATCAAGCAAGTGCTTACCTATCATATCCATGATGAAAAATTGAGATTCACCAGATGTGCAGGACGTGGTTTACTCGGTTGCGTTGGCGGAATTTTTCTGCTTACGTGATCTCTTCCTTTGCCTGCTCCTGCTCCTTATTGTTTCAACACTCTCATTACCTTCCTGCAGATATTTGAGATTATGCATTACTTCATAGTTCATACTCCCTCCATCCCAAAGTAAGGGTCCACAATTGAGACAGCACACAGTTTGGCATACATAAATATTACCCTTTTTTATTAAGCAAATGACATCTTTACCCTTATTTGATTTCTCTATATTCACAACTTTTAAATATCTGTGCATTACTTAAAGGGTAAATTTGAGAATTTAGTTGTCTAATTTTGAAGCTTCAATATTATTTTGGGACAAACATAAATAGAGAAGTGGACCCTAAAAATATAAATTACTTGGCAGTTAACGTTCATAAAGTTCATGATATACTATATGTCTGGACATATCAACAGAGTATCATAAGTAAAAGTATAGGTAAGTCAGTCAAAACTACCCACATTGCTATCAAGTTTTCAAAGCAAGACTTCGCTAATGCATGTGTGAAAAAAGGCTTGTACAATGTCATGAACGAAGAAGAATTACACACTGCGATGGTACAAATTAGGATGAAATTCAAGACTTCCATCGAACAACCATAACGCTTTAAAGTCAAACATATATAAACATTAGAGGTCTATTTCCTTCCCCACTATCTACAGTAACAGGATCATAAGGTAAGAGCAGAATGTCAAACAGTAGACTCTCATGGGGGGAATACTAAAAGAAACTCACCTTTTTGGCAACATGATTTTGGTTCTCAGTTTTTTTCTTCTTACAGGAGAGCGGATTTGGACCCTGGAAAAGGCCCAAGTAAATGAGCGACGATAGCTTGATTAGCTAAACTGGATGATCATGACAATAACTATAGCAAGAAAAAGACACTAAAATCGTAGTTGATTCTCTGATGAATGTTTGAAAAGAAGATGCAAGTTACGAAAAGAATCAAGAATACAATCAAGAAAACAACATGGTGGAGGATCAAAACCTTAGCTCTCTTTCTCTTGAATTGCACTTTATCCTTTACATCTGTTTTCCTTTTAGCAGCATTTTTCTTCAAATCTTCTATGATATTATCTGGCAAAACTTCATCTGCAACAGAGGACTCCCCTGGTTCCTCCGTTGCTGAACTTCTGTTTTTCTTATTAAGGAGCATCTTAAACTCTAACTCATTCATATGAGAGCGCTGGTCTTCTGCAACTTTGGCAAACTGTTGCTGAGACTGGGATGGAGGTTCAAGGAATAGAGCATTTCGCAGTGCAAATATTACAGGAACAGCTGGTATCTGTATCCATAAAAAATTGTAGTGTATGATAAAATGTGGTTATATATGCATTTGAACTAGTCGCCTAGATGCAAGCACATGATATCTAGGAGCTACAACGCGCATTAACCACAAGAAACACTAATATAGCATGCCTGTCCATGTTCAGCTGTAAAAGATTTGATATTACAGAGCTCTGCAAGATATTCTAGTCCTGTACCAATAGTAGACGTACAAAGCACGTGTTTTGAATCTGTCATTAATACGAATGATTATCAACAAAACCAATTGGAAATATTGCCTTTTTCTTAATTTAGATTCCCCTAAACTAAAATCATTTTTAATAACAAAACTTGAGGCACAACTGGCTCCACGAATTCAGCAAATATCAGCACCAATTTCACAGATATATCTTTTTAAGATATTGTGAAGCTGCGTCCAAAAATGGCTCACTTCCTGGAACCAGTAAAAGTAGCGCCCTTGAGTTATAAAGAATGCCAACTGAAGATTCCCAAGTTAAGTTAATGATGATCACTGGAGAGGGGGAACTGCTCCCAGGCTTGAAACCAAGACCTTATCACAGAAAACAAAATGGATTTCCATCGGATATCCCCTAGGCACCAAGTCAAGTTCATTTGTAAGGAAAAACCTTTAGTAATTTTCCATGAAAAGACTGAAGGTTCAGGCCTTTTCATTTCTTAGAAATCTAGACAAAAGAGCTTGTTCTTACTCTCATTTTAACAGTTAAAATGTACAAGAAATACATGCAACTTTTAACCACTATAGAAACCAAACAAATGAAATATGTATAAACCTCTTGAAACTTCTTGCGCAGGTCAGCATCTTGACTAGCAACAAAGAAATGCTCTGAATTGTCTTCCCCAATAACTTCTGCTAGACAAGCCACAGCGCTCTTCCTCTTTTCATGATCACATCTGAAAATACCTCTTCAGTCTCGGTGTAGAAAATGGAATCATGCAATCAAATCCAGGATAATTTTGTACATGGTGAGGAAGAATATTTAGGAAGAGGTAGCCTCACTGTGTTTCAACACTTAACGTGTATGAAGGAATCACATTGAGGTGACCAAAGCATCTCTAAGTTGCAAAAAACAACGTTGAATGAACCATGATAACTCTAACTAGGCCAGCCAATATATGTTTTATATTTGTACAGGGGTAATTCCAAACTAAAAAGGGGAAACTAACCTCGCAGGCATAAGATCACGAGCCACATTAAGAGAATCAGAGTAGGCTTCACCAAGGCTTTTCAACTCTGCAAGAACACATCTAGTATATTTCCCAGACAGGGATAAATTAACGAAGAGGGTGAATGAACATCTAAAGCCTAACAGTTTTCCAACATACTAAATCTTGTAAAAACAGGGTAAAGTAAATGCCTCTAACCTGGTTGTGAACATTTTGACTGGAGCACCTAAAATATTTGAGAGGGCCGTATCAGCTGGAGTGATGCGATTAACTAGAAGATGGTGTATAAACGTTCCATCACATAAGACCTTGAAGGGCGATCTGAAACCAAAGCATGTTGTATAGAATCTCACACTTCTGCGATGACGCTTTTGCTTTTTTAATCTCATCTGTAACACAAGGTACCCATGTTTACTATAGACATTGACAAATAATTGAAGTGGAAGCATTAATATCAGAGATGAGTGCTAAAGAACAAAGCTCAGCTGGTAGGAGACGCCCAATAACATCATGACATGACAAGAATTGATCTTGCAATATGCCTATAATGTACTCAAGAACATTGTAGGAGAACGAGAATAGGCTGAAATGAGTTTTGCTAACTCCAGGTGCCCTTTAATTGATAATGAGACAACACATATGACTCAAAAGTATTGCTTCTTCACAAAAAGGTCAATGTTCACCATTTACTAACTGTAATGCAGATAATGCCATTGGTTTCTGCTGCTCATTGGTAGTTTTTTCTTTCTTGAAGAGGTGATCATTTGTAGTTAACAGAACTTTTCAAGAGAAAACTAACTTAATTGTGGAGGTCTTGGAGGAATGGAAATCCAAGGTTGTCCTTGTAACACTAAAAGAATGGCAAAATATATAAAATTAACTACAACAGATATTTACACATATCATAGTTGTGAAGCCTAAATAAGAATAGCATCACATAAAAAGATTCAGCTTAGAAGATATTGACTATGCAAACTGAAGGACTATGGCTTATGCCAACATCAAACACTGTAACTCGACATTTACTATGCAAAACTGAAGGACTATGGCTTATGCCAACATCAAACACTGTAACTCGACATTTACTATGCAAAACTGAAGGACTATGGCTTATGCCAACATCAAACACTGTAACT